GACAGAATAAGCAGTGGAATACGTCTAATCTGATTTGCCATTTGTGGTCAGGCACAAAACGTCTGGCTCAGGGAATCCGCGATTACATTGTTCAGGCCAGGTAAGTATGATGCAGTTAACATGATCTTGTTGCAAATACACCAGTTCCAGAGACAGACCTCCTCTGCACAAAGCAATCATGAGCGTGCCCCACTTTGACAGTTTACATAATACATTGAGGCAATGTTGTTGGTGAGTATGCTCATAGTCGTTCCACAAATATATTTTTGGAAATGCCTGCAGGCATTGAAAACCACCCTGAGCTCAAGGAGATATATGTGGAGGGAAGCCTCTGTTGTTGACCACCTGCCTTGCACAGACATACCATTCATTTGGGCTCCCCAGCCAATAAGGGATGCATCTGTAGTGATTTGTGCCGAAGGCTGGGATCACTGAAAGGGGACTGCTGCCAAGAGGTTGTGTGGATCTGTCCACCAGTGGAGGGATGTGCGAATCTTGGTAGGAGACACCATCTTGGTAACTAGATGTCTTGTGAGAGTGTACACCGACACCAGCCAATGCTGTAGGTAACGGAAATGCAGTCTGACTCGATAGACTACATAGGTCATAGCCGCCATACGGCCCATTGATGGTAGGCAGGTAAGAACTGTAACTGTCAGTCTGGTAGTGAGTGTGGAAATGAGATCCTGGATCACTTGGAATCTGAGTTGGCAAATACGCACATGCTACTGCAGAATCGAGTCACATCCCTATAAATTCAAGGCGCTGAGTTAGGACAGATAAAGATTTTTGCTCATTGACTATTAGTCATAGCAAATCGAAAGTCTGTCTGGCTATCATTACCACGTGGAACACCCTTTTATCAAGCAGTCATCGAAGTAAGGGAAGATTATAACTCCCTCTCATCCTAAGTAAGCTGCTACGACAGCCAGGGTCTTTGAGAATACCCTGGCTTTTGATGAAAGGCCGAAAGGCAGGACCCGGCACTGGAAATGTTCCCTGTCTATTGTAAAGTGAAGAAATTGCCTGTGTGCTGGATGGATAGTAATGTCAAAGTAAGCATCCTGAAGGTCGAGGGTTGCAAACCAGTCTTTGTTGTCTAGAGCCAGAATTATCAAAGCATCACTATTTGCCAATTTATGTTCCAGGGGTCAAGTATGGTTCTTCAGTGTGAGGAAATAACGAGAATAGAACCCTTTTCCCCTGAACTCGTCCGGTACCCACTCTACTGCCCCAATAGACTAGGTGGTAGACCGCTTGTTTGAGTAGAGTCTTGTGAGAGGGTCCCTGAAGAGGGACGGGGTGGGTGGAGTGGTTGGAGGTAGAGACAGGAATGGTGTCATAAAACCGGACAACACAATCTCCAGGACCTAGTGATCGAAGGCGATGGTGGTCCATTGCTGATAAAACGGCCTCAGGCGATGATAGAAAGTGCCTGAGAGTTGTTGCTGCAGGGTGACAACAGGTTGAGACTGGGAGCCCTTGACAAAAGAGTTGAACCTGCTGCTTGTTGACAGGTTGGCCTGAGACACGGATCGAACCCACGTTGATGTTGCTGTGGTCTGTTGAAATAATAACACCTTTAGTATAGATAGTGCTTAGCTACCCCCAGAGTTCTGAGGGTGGTACGGGACTCTTATGTGTGAAAAGACTCATGTGTTTTATGTGCAAAAAGCTTCTGTTTGTCAAAGGGGAGGTCCCAAGAACGCCTGGGTCTTCGGTGCCATCTTGGGTCTCGGTGCTGTCGGTGCCGTGTCTGACATCTTCTTTGGCTTTGCAGCTGGAGCCGGCCTTTACCATGAGGAGGTGGTGCCGGATTTGCCAGGCTTCTCCCCCGCACTCACTCCGCAGGCAAGAAACGCACCAGTGAGACCCTTTTGTTTTTAAGTGGGGCCGTTCCAGAAGAGGACGCCTTGTGTTTCTGGGACGATGAAGGATCCGAAGTCGAAGGGGACGAGGCATCTGAGGTTTGTAGTGCCTTGTCAAACAAAATCACGTGTAGGCACATTTCTCTATCGCGCCTTGCTCTGGCCGTTAGTTTTGAGCAATGGGCACACTTTTGAGGCACATGAGCCTCGCCCAGGCATCAAATACATGAGGAATGGCCGTCAGAGGGTGGCACTGCCTCACAGCAGAGGTCACTTTTTTTTTAACCAGGAGATCCCAGCATTGTTAGAAGTTGTCTTGTCTCCATTTGATGCTGATTCTCTCTCTCTCTCTTTTTTTTTTTTTAAACGGCTTAAGGACAGAAAAAGAACCGAAGGGTTTCTGTTTAGTTTTTTAACTGAAAACCACAATTAGAACTACTACTAACCACTAACAACAACTACAGCTAATAACTACTAACTAATATATACAAATTTTTCATTTTCTGACTAGGTAATGAAGGGACGAGGAGAGCTCCGTCTGTGACCCGTGAGTGGTTGAAAGGAACTGGCAGGAGCCGGATCGCACACATTAGGCAAAAGGTGCGAGACACGCATTGCACATGCGTGATCCGGCCGAATGCAGGCTACCAAAAATCTCTGAGCTGCCACGCCGGGACGGAGCCCAACACCTAATGTGGAGCACCCACGGGGACACTACTCGAAGAAGAACCATCAGGTCTGTGCTAGTGGTAAATGCTTGTGATGGCAGCGTAGTGGGTAGGGCCACTTGTACCATGGCTACTTGCAGTAATGCAGGTTGAGCTGTTGGTGCCGAGTGCTTGGCATGTGCCAACTCTGCTGGATGTTTTGGCTGACCCAATGGTGCTGTGGGTGGTGGCATGGTCGTGCTCGGTGCTGATGCTGCGCATGGACAAGTCCATACTGGGGTTGGTGCCAATCGTGTTTTGGTTGGTGCCCTTATGGACAGCTTTTGCTTTGCCTAGGCTGGTGCCTTACAAAAGGACTGTGACTTCTCTTTGGAGTCTCAGCCCATCAGAGCCAGACTAGCTCAGTGCCTTTAGTGCAACCAGTGCTGGGGCAGATTTTTTCTTCAGAGAGCATTTCCTCAAGGGGGAAAATCAGCCCCTGAAGAGAAATTGGACCTTTTATGGGCACCTGAGTCCTGTCAGAGTCCTTGGGGCTTGACCTTATGGCATCCGCTCTCCCAGAGACCGCCACAGGGTCCATATAGTGTGCTCCGAGTCAGAAGCGGGTCCAACTATCTTCTCCAAGAGCAAGATTTTCAATTGCAGCTCCCCTGGCCTTTCTAGTCCCTCAATGTGAATTTCTTGCAGTGGGGATACTGAGAGGTGGAGTGCCCCGCACCCAAGCAGTGGAGAGAGTGTCCATCAGACACAGAAATGGACAGCTCAAAGGTTATACACCTTTTAAAAGCAGGCGAAGCAGGCATGTCCAAAAAATGGTTTCAGCAATGCAGGAAAGGGAAATTACTCACCTTGTGCAGTCATGACAATTCTTCAAGATGTGTCCGTCCGTCCGTCCCCCCGAGTGCTCCACTATTGGTGTTGTGTCGTACCGGCACCACGGATTGGAATTTTTCATAGCAGTAGCTGGCTGGGCTGCACATACTGTAGGCACCTCATGGAGTTTGCAGCTTGCACGCAGCCCAACCCTCCTCAGTTCCTTTTCTACACCCAACTAACTCAGCACTCCTAAGTAGATGAGAGGAGGGTGGGTAGCGATGCACCCACATCTCTAAGAACTGTCATTACTGCACAAGGTGACTAACTTCTCTTTCTTCAAGTGATGTTCCCTTGGGTGCTCCAATGTGGGTAACAACAAAGCAGTGATCGAATAGTTAGGTGGGCTTCAGAATCACCGACTGACAGTGGAAGTAAGACTGCCATGGCTACTGAAAAGTCAGCCGATGGTTGTGGAGTGATGTCACGGTGTCGCACAAAGGTGCGTTCAGATGACCCGGTGACCGCCTGGCAAATGTCCTTGAGTGAGACATCATGAAGAAACGCCATAGGCATGGACATAGCTCAAATAAAATGCACTTTAGCTGGAGCTGGGAGTGTGTGGCTCCATAGGGAGTAGAAGTGAATAATGGAAGAGGATATTGGCTTGGAAATAAGCTGGACAGAGATGGACATAACCTTGGAATGGTCTGCAATGGAGGCAAACAGGTGCTGCCATTTACAAGAGACCCTGGTCCTATCAATGTAAAAGTCAAGGGCCCTCCAAATGTCCAAAGTGAAGGACGACCTCAAGGCAGGAGGCATGCAGTTTCAGGTAAAAGGCTGGTAGCACAATAGTCTCGTTGAGGTGGAACAATGTGCATACCTTCAGAAGAAAGGCGGGGTCAGGCCATAGAGTAACTCTGTCCTCAGCAACAACTGTGTAAGGTGGGTCTACTGTAAGAGTCCCAATCTCACTGACCCTGCGAGCAGAGGGAATCGCAACTAAGAATACTACTTTCATGGAGAGAAGGAGGGAATAGATTGACAATGGTTCCAAGGGAGGTCAAATGAGTTCACACACTTTTTGTAGGTGAAAACCATCCACTTGTGTGGCAATTTCTAATTTTAAAAGTCACTTTTTACATTCCAACACATCAGGAAACAAACTTCCAAGTCTGAAGTTCAGAGATTTCTTCTATCAAGGAAGACACAGATTAGGTCTGGGTATCAATTTAGCTTATAAATCATATCCCAAATCCTAGAAAGAGAGGAAGTGGTGGCGTGGAAGAAATGCCAGTGAAGAGATGGAAAGAAGAAAAAGAGGCAAAAGAAAGCAGGAAAGGGGAAAGCGCACTGAACAAAGTGAAGTGTTAGTGAATGTTTCTATTTATGAAAAGTACATACACAAATGCATTTGGGAAAAACCAATTGCCCAGCTACACAGAAACTCAGCTTCAACCATGAGGCCTGCTGGCCTTGGCTAAACAGACACTACAGAGGAGCTGACAGGCCTGATGGCCTTTGCATTCATCTCATTAAGAATCAGAAACATGAAGAGAAACTGATAGCCAATCTCCTAGAACCTGAGTTGTAGCATTAGCCTATATCGAGAGTGGCATAGTATGGAATCCCAATGCCTTCCACTTACCATTTGGACTCTGAGCGGTGTTGAGACACCTTCATTTCTCTTATTGATTCTCTTATTGTACCTCAAGCTGGAAAAAACAGAAAACATAATATTTCAATACTAGTTTTCAGTAAGCGAAACCTTCTCTGCTCCTGGGTCCTGCTTTTTCCACTAGAGAAGACAAGGTTGGGCCAGCTGCACAAAGTCCAGCAAGTCCAAGGAAACAATGGAGTCTATTTCTTTCTAGGACAACATTTTGGCAAGCCTTCCAATTCACCTGAACAACCAAGCATACAGAAGTCATCCCCAACTGGATCCTCAAGAAAGAGGAGTCTTGTGGCATAGTAACTGTGCACTCTTTCTTCTAATGAGCAGGATAAAATGTTTTGTTCTCATTAGGAAAAGTACATGTACATTCTTGATTGGTGAGTAATGTCTCTGCCTCTGGGAGATTAGCTCAGAGTTGTGCAACCTGGAATGCATTCAGTTCAATCTATTCTAGCTCTCCTGAACAGCTATTCCCCAAGGATTCCAGGTCAGATCCACAGTCTCACTCTCTCTCAACACATACCCCATGCTTATGAAATAGCTTAAGGAAAAAGCACAATAAGGTGAGAACACTGAAAAGCACTTACATTCAAAACTGAAACATGCACAATTGAGTTCCAACCTCTTCAACTAAGTGATATGCACCTACACTCACTATACAAAAGCAAGCATATAAAGCATGAACACAAAATGTTAGTCAGAAGGGAGTTAAAGTAATAACAAATGGGGGGGGGGGTAAAAAAGGAAAGCTAGAACTCTGCTTAAAATAAAGATGTTTAGAACCAACTTTATCAAGGACTTACAGATGTGAAAAAAAATGAATTATTTTATACACCAATGCTAGGAGCCTGGGCAGCAAACAAAAATTCAATTTGCTCATTTATGAGCATAAATTTGATTTACAATAACATATTACTGAAACATGGTGGGATGATTCACACAGTAGAGTGGCCCTCTATATAAAAAATAGCAACACCTGTTTTGTGTCGATGATAACTCAAAAGAAAATTACCCTAACAGCTTATAAACCAATGACTAGCAGGTTGAACACATAATGAGATACTAGTTGATAAACACTATAGACAATTTCCAACTCACAACCAACTGACAGAAATTCTTTATTAGAGCTTATCCTAACAGATAAAGTGGAACTGATCACAGAACTGAAAATTAATAGTAGCTTAATTACAAGCCATCATGACTTGATCACATTTCTAATGTGCAAGAAGAATAAGAGACAGACCAGTAATACGCTTGCCGTGCACTTGGTGATTTAGTAGGACCAGTTTCAAAGCTCAAAACAATTATGAGCCAAATCAGCTAGGAGGAAGCCTTTAATGAGAAAAAAATGTCAATCATAATTGAGAACCCGATACCCAAAAAGCCACAATCCCACAACTGAAAAAGAGGCTGTGCGTGTAGCTTAAAATAACCTGGTTTTGAGGCAAAATGAAGACAGCTGTAAAAAATAATTACAGGCAGTCCCCGGGTTACATGGATCCGACTTACATCGGATCCCTGAAGCTAGCGCTCCCCCCAGCAGACCAGGGAGACGCGAAGCTAGCGCCCTCCTCCCAGCAGACCAGGGAGACGCGGAGCGGCTTTTCTCAGCCGACACCTCCGCTTGAGAATAAAGGACTGAGGGAAGTGAGGTGTGGGAGAATAAAACTGAGCTCTGGAGAAATGTTTGGCTAGAGTTTCCCCTACAATATGTACCAGTTCTGACTTACATACAAATTCAACTTAAGAACAAACCTACAGTCCCTATCTTGTACGTAACCCGGGGACTGCCTGTATATATAAACACAACTGGAAAAAGTTGACAGTAATGAATTTAAATCAGAAGTTAGGAACTGCAGAAAATTGATAATGGAAGCAAAAGGACACAAGGAAAGCTGATGGCTTGCAAAACTGATACTTACCCCGATCAAGATTATAGAGTATCTGATACAGAATTTGATTAATAGTCTACTAAAGTGGGGGTAATTAATCCAAATCAATAGGGATTTATGGAAAATAGATGGTCAAACTCATCTGATATCTTAATGAGATTACAAATTTGGTTGATAAAAAATAGTTCTAACAGTATATTAGACTTCTCTAAGGCATTTGACTTGGTGAAGCACAACAGTTTGAATAATAAACTAATATGACAAAATTAGCACTGCAAACATTAAATGAATTAAAAACTGGCTGACAGTTCTCAAAATGTTAACTATAAACAGACAATCATCACTAAGTAGATGCGTTTCCATTGGGGTCCTGCTGGGATTGGTTCTTGGCCTTACACTATAATATTTGTATTAATGACCCAGGAAAAAACAACAGCAAAAAATCATCAATTGATGAAGTTTTCGGAGGACACAAAATTGGGGGGAGTGAGAAATAATGAAGATCAGTTAGTTATTCAGAGAGATCTGGATCACTTGAGCCAAGTTTACCAAGTAAACAATGTGTATTTTAATAAGGCTAAACGTAGTATTCTTGCAAGCAAGTTACAAAAGTATGGATTGGATAAATGGACTGTAAGGTGGATAGAAAGCTGGCTAGGTCATCAGGCTCAATGGGCACTGATCAACAATCTTTGATTGGCAGTTGGTATCAAACTGAGTACTCCAAGGGTCGGCTCTGGGGCCGATTTTGTTCAACATCTTTATTAATGATCTAATGAGGTGATGGATTGCACCCTCAGCAAGTTCACTGAAGACACTAAACTAGAGAGAGAGGTAATTACAGTGGAGGGTAGGAACAGGGTCCAGAATGGCTTGGAAAAATTGGAAGATTGGGACAAATATCTGATGAGGTTCAACAAGGACAAGTGTAGAGTCCTGCACTTGGGACAGAAGAATCCCAAACATTGTTACAGGCTGGGGACAGACTGGCTAAGTAGCAGTTCTACAGAAAATGACCTGGGGATTAGAGTAGATGAGAAGCTGGATATGAGTCAGATAGTGTGCCCTTGTAGCCAAGGTGGCTAATGGCATATTACGGTCCATTAGTAGGAGTACTACCAGCAGATCTAGAGAAGTGATTATTCACCTTTATTCAGCACTGTTGAGGCCACACCTGGGCTGCGTCTAGACTGGCAAGTTTTTCCGCAAAAGCAACTGCTTTTGCGGAAAAGCTTGCCAGCTGTCTACACTGGCCGCTTGAATTTCCGCAAGAACACTGATGATCTCATGTAAGATTGTCAGTGTTCTTGCAGAAATGCTATGCTGCTCCCGTTCGGGCAAAAGCCCTCTTGCGCAAATGCTTTTGCGCAAGGGGGCCAGTGTAGACAACGCAGTATTGTTTTGTGCAAAAAAGCCCCGATGGCGAAAATGGCGATCAGGGCTTTCTTGCACAAAACCATGTCTAGGTTGGCATGGACGCTTTTCCGCAAAAAGTGCTTTTGCGGAAAATCATCCGTACCAATCTAGACGCTCTTTTCCACAAATGCTTTTAACGGAAAAACTTTTCCATTAAAAGCATTTGCGGAAAATCATGCCAATCTAGATGTAGCCCTGAAGTACTATGTCCATTTCTGGGGCCCCCCACTACAGAAAGGATGTGGGCGCACTGGAGAGGGTACAGAGGAAGGCAACAAAAATGCTGAGGGGGCTGGAGCACATGACCTAAGAAAGGCTGAGGGAATTGGGCTTGTTTAGTCTGCAGAAGAGAAGAATGAGGGGGGATTCGATAGCAGCCTTTAACTGCCTGAAGGGAGGTTCCAAAGAGGCTGGAGAGAGGCTGTTTTCAGTAGTGATGGAAAGCAGAACAAGGAGCAATGGTCTCAAGTTGCAGTGTGGGAAGTCTAGATTGGATAGTATGAAAAACTATTTTCCTTCTCACACATCCAGCACTTCAGGAGTTAAGGTTGGCTCACCCATTCTCCTGGCCTGTATGATGCTGGTAAAACTAAGACTCTTCTTTGCAGTCTGATAAAGCATGTGAAAACTGAAGGCTTCACACGTTCCTCCTTTCACTGCTTGGCCAGCAGCCCACATGTTTTTACTCCCTGGCATCCAAGGCAAATGAAGAGAATGTCAGGAATTAAAGCCAAACTATTAGTTAGTTGCACTGAACTTCCCCATCCTCCACACCCTCCTCTTAGGGAGCTTGGATTCCTTCTTCCAGCAAGGGGACAATGCCTGCATGGCTGCGGTGCTCCCTTCAACAAGAGAAGCCACCCTCTCCCATACTCAGCAAAGGCACTTGAGTTTGGAAGGCTGCTATCACAGTAGTGCTCAGAGCAACTCTTATCATTAAGGCTAGAGGTCAGGGATTTGTGCTTAGCAGTAACATAGGAACTCATCCTTGGAACAGCTCACTGCAAGTACTGATAATAGGATGGGTATTAGCAATTCATATAAATTGCAAGGAAGGTTGGGCTCTATTCTTGCTCCTGCCTCCAATTTGGAGGCAACAGCATTTGGAAGTGATATTTATTACTGTATGCCATACACCTACAATACCCATCCCAGACCCACAGTAATTTCCTCCTAGTCCTCTGCTAAAACGCCACCCAATCATTCAATATTTAACATTAGATTTACCCAACATTGCTCAGGTCCTTAACTCAATTTTTGTTTTTTGGAAAATAAAATGAAAATGTAAATGCTTTAAGTCATTACTCTGGGGTGGGGCTGGGCTTCACTATTCAAGCTGCCCCAGGGAGAGAGGACTACCCCAGCCCTCTCTCACAGCAGCTTGGGGACAAGTGAGAAGCGCCTCCCTGTGGCCGCTGCAGCTTCAGTGAGGAACAGCCAGAAGGGGATCACTCCCTCCTGATCTCGAGAAGCACTCTGTGGAGGAGAGGAATGGGTCAAAATTCATACATAAGGATCGCCAATGAAGGAGGAATGTGTCAGCAGTGGAGTCCAGGCTGTGGTTCTGTAGGAGCAGAACTTCTGACACTTCCTGTTGTGCTGTTCATTACTGAACAGACCTATGAGGGGAGAGCCCCACCTTTGGAAAACTAATGCCATCACATCTGGGCCAACTGAGCACTTGTGACTGCTGAAGGACCAGCTGAGGCAGTCTGCCAATTTGCTGTACACACAGGGAGAATGCCTGAAGGAGTACTGAATGTTCTACTCTGAAGTCCCAGAGTTTTAGGGCTTTTTGACCCAGGGGAGAAGAGTGTACTCCCCATTTGTAGATACAGAACATGGTTATTGTGTTGTGCATCATAATTGACCGTGACACCTGCTAGGTGAGCCCTGAAAGTCTGACGCAAATCTCACTGCCCTGAGCTCCCTGATATTGATGTGAAGAGGTAGGTCCTCTTGTGATGACAGGCCATGGGTCTTGGGTGCTCCAGCCCAAATCGGAAGTGTCGGTCACTAGAGATATGGGAGGCTGAGGGCGGATGAATGGGACCTTTGTACATACCTCTTAAAGGTCAAGCCACCACAGTATCAAGTCTAGTGCTGATTCTGGAAGAGTCACTACTCTGTCCAATTTGTCTCAGATTGGTCGATACACCAGTGCTGACTAGGGGTGTGTCTAGACTACAGAGTTTTGTCGACAAAAGTGAACTTTTGTCGACAAAACTATACCTGCGTCTACACTACCGCTGAGTTCTGTCGACATAACGTCGACAGAACTCAGCAGTTTTGTTGACGCTGGTAAACCTCATTTTACGAGGCATAACGCCTTCTGTCGACAGAAGGTGTTATTGCATGTAAACTGTCCTTGCGTCTACACTGCCATGTCGACAAAGCAGCTTGCTTTGTCGACAGAACTGAATGTAGTGTAGACGCTCTTTGTCGACAGAAGCTTTGTCGACAATATCTGTAGTCTAGACGTCCCCTATTCCAGCGGGCAGAGTCTCAGTCTGAGATGCTGCAGTATATAGCTGCACGCTGCTGTGGGACCTAGGAGCTTGAGACAGTAACTTGCTGTTGTGGTGGGAAACTGTCTGAGACCTCAAATATTACTTGAGGGGGTTTGGAACGATGACTCAAGTAGGAATGCTCTGGCCTGAGTCAAATCCAGAACTGCCCCTACAAATTCTAACCTCTGGAGACAGGGTGGACTTCTCTTCGTCCATTAGGATGGCCAGATTGTTAAACGTGTCTCTGATAAATATGAGTTGAGCTTGCACCTGTTCCTCGGAATGGCCTTTGAGCACCCAGCCATCAAGATAAGGGAATACTGCACTTGGTTTCTATGGTACCTGCTGATGGGCATCAGAATCCAGAATGTTTCCCAGTGCTGAGGAGACAA